AAGTGCTCACAGCTTATTATGTGCAATTCATTTCTTAAGGTTATACCAACAATTTAAGTCATTTTTAATGATCTTGAACGTCACTAAAACATAGCTATTAAGAAAGCTATTTCATAAATGGCTAGATCTTGATAAATAATTATTATNATATTACACAGTTATTAACGGCATTTATATATTGCACATATTGCACATAGACACACCACAACACAGACTATATCACCCCTTGCTGCTAAATACCAACAAACTATGTGCAATATGTGCAATATATAAATGCCGTTAATAACTGTGTAATATATACCTGGCTGCTAAATCCTTAGAACTGTTACAAGGTGTGTATCTTGTCAATTGTGTAACTTGCTGCTTTTATACGCGAGTAGTGAAAACACTTCCGCGTAGTCTGCTCTCGTGTATCCTCCCTTTCGTCTCCTCTGGAAGCCTCCTCCCTCACCCCTCCTCGACTCCTCCGTGTGCATTTTAGCGATTGGGACGTCCTTTAACATGGCGTGTCTTGATCGATTTCCGGGTCAAGTCCCGGAGGAGGGGGGAGAGACGAGTCGAGGAAGGATATTGAGATGAACTACCTAGGTCGTATAAACATGGAACGTTCCACCTCAGAACCATTGAAGTAAAAGAGACGACTCTGCAGCTTTCAGACTTCCAGTAATCAGCAATGCGCGCTTTGGTCCTGGTGGTGTTAAAAAGGTTGTCGTTGCCATGCCGATTCATCGTGTCTCACTAATAATAAGACCTTCCACCGTGGTGTCGTCTGCAACATTGATGATGGCATAGTATGGCAACAATGTCTTAAAAACAGCACAGTATGTTGAAAATATGAGATGACATATCAATGTAAAAGTAACACATATCCCAAAAAACCCACATTTTAGATGCTTTCTAGTTTGACGAGAGTACAATTAAATGGAGAACAAGTATTAGTTTAAGAGATTATAAGACCAAATCTACCAAAAACACACACACTGCTGGTTGTTTTCCTTCTCAAGTGATATCCTTTCCACTGATGTTTAATTTGAGAAATCCATTATTATAACAGCCTAAAATAAGGTACTGTTTGATGTCACACAGTGAAAGTGTAATGTAACACAGCCTCAGTGCTGAGCTCCTAAAATAGTGTGTGATTTCAGTCGTTCAGAACATAGTGTTCCCGGTCGAGTCCAGATAACAGCGTTCACTTTGTGCTGCAGATTGTTCAGACTAAAGTTCAATTACTTTAGGTCGAATCATGTGACGGAGCCAAAAGGGACAAACGTAGACTTCACCTTAATGCTGCTTTTTCTCTAACTCTAGTGGGAAATAATGGAAAGCAAGAATCTTCAAGCTAAAATACCTGCAGTATAGATTTTGCCAGGGTGGAAAAAATGCACTTGTGTACCGGGGAATATCAATTTAAGCCTCTGTGTAATGTATACAAGATGTGAATTTATGATGATTGAACGTATCAATCAATGTTTATTTATACAGCCCAATATCACAAATGTCACATTTGTCTGAGTAGTCTTCAGTTTGTACAGAATATCAGTATGACAACACGACACCCTCTGTCCTTAGACCCTCTGTCCTTAGACCCTCTGTCCTTAGACGCTCACTGCTTGATAGCACGAAGGTCCGTTTACTCCATCCATCCATCTTCTCCCACTTATCCGTGGTCGGGTCTCGGAGG